ACAAGCAGAACAGTGAGTTACAATGATGTAAACTGGATTTGTGCCATCGTAACAAGATGCCACCCCAGTTTTCTTAAAAGACAACTATAAAAGCCAACCTTAACCACCTTAGTGTCCTTCAGAGGTGGTCCTCCTCCCTATCTTTCAGGGAGACTGGGTGAGATGTCCTGTCTGGTTCCTGTATAGGATGGATTTCAGCTGTTGGTGGGTTGGGATTTCTCTCCTGTTTTAAAGTTTCATCTGTCACACCTGTGTTTTAATGAGAACTTTGTCTGATAGGGTATCTAGGTCAGCATTATATGTTTTAAAAAGGCATGCCTTAGATTGCTTAGCTTTTCCTGAAAGGGGCTTCATGACAAGGTTACAAGAGGAAGTCTAAAAACTACTCTTCCTGTATCTCTGATAATGGTAGTTCTGGGGAAATAGTGTTGCAGTTGTTTGTCTTTCCCCCTTTAAATAGCTACATGGGGGAAGAGAAGTCAGAACCAGGGTTTCAGTGGAAGGGAATTTAGCCCTGTCCCCTTCTCAAACTAATGTCACTTTGCCTCCTGAGACAAATTTCCATGACATGAAAAAAAGGGTTAGCTGTCTCCCCATATTGATTGGGGCCCTACAATACCAAACTATGCATTAACTGCAATGTGCAATTTGGCCCATAATTTGCAAACAAAAAACACAGCACAATCTTCAGAATAACTGCTTTATTCCCCCACAGAGACAGAGTTCAAAAGCAATTAAGAACATGTAGAAAAGGGCGTACAAAAAGGCATAGGGAAGAAGATAGATAAAATAATAAATAAATGGCCATGATATTTTAAAACATTAAGGTAGGTTTCTTGACATGTGGATTTCTTTTTCAGAAAACATGGAAAATGATATTGGAGGTGCTGCTGCTGCTGACAAGTGAAAAACAAAACAAAACTGGGCCAGTCTAAGGTTTTGCTGTTACTGAACCGCAACTTTTATAGTTCTTTCAAGCAAAGAAAGATTGAGCTATATCTATATTCTGTAACAATGATGTCAAATTGTTCTCTCATTGCAGAAGAATAAGCTGGTGTTTTTTGGGTTTTTTTTTGGTCTGGTTCCAGAAGAGCTTATAAAAGGAATAAAAATTTGGTACGCAAAATAC